CTTCCCTCCTCCCTGCCCGTGCACTGGACGTGGCTGCTGGCCCCAGCACATGGGGAGGGAGCAGGAGAAGAGCCGGGGGCTGCACTGTCAGAGCCTGGAGACAGGTGCCACAGTGGCGGCCTGAGGCTGCCAGCCTCAGCTACGCTAAAGGATGGGGACAGACCAGCACCTGAGCTGGGCCCTTTCCACTGACTTTTTTTTTTCTTCTCTTGTTTTGACACAACAGTCATGAGTGGGTTCCTCCCAGCAAGGCTACATAGCTGCACCTGGTTGAGTGACACTGGCCATGAAAGCCCACCTGCATGCACTTCTCCTCCTTTGGGAAGGGGCTGGGCATCCCACACCATCTCTCAGCTAACTGACAGACTGGGGAGATGCTGGGGAAGGCCTTGCAGCTTTCAGTAGGAGGCTGCACATCCTCCTTATATTGTGGCGTTTGCCCCTCAGTTTTGGTGTACAGTCAAGCTGTGGAGCCTGCGTCCAGCTCTGGTGGCTGCCTACCAGCACACCAAGTGGCAAACCTGAACTTCCAGCCACCCTGCGGAGACCAGCCCTACCATTGTGGTCCACAGCTTCCCCTTTCTCAATTTTCCCCAGGACTGACCCCACCTCCCCTCCATCAACCCTAAGCATTTGATTGCCTTTTCCTGCTGGGCCACCTCTTCCCTCTGACTCCCTCCTTCCACTCTCCTCTGCTTGGTCCCCAAGCTCTCCAGGCTGTTTTTTCACACACCTTCGGCCGTCTGAGATCTTTGTTCGTCCACCTGCCCAATCCATCTTTGTGGACTTCTGTCTCTGCCCACCCAGACCTGCACGGAGGTGGGAGCCTTGTTCTCTCTTCCTTCCAATTTCTCCACCTTCCTGCCCCAGGTGAAGTTGGCTGCACCTGGCCTCTTCATTCCCATCAGATCCGCAGTCTTCCTTGCATCTCTCCCGCTTTTTGACCATCCTCTTCCCTTCCCTGGGTGTTTCTTTCTCAACTCTTGCCCTAGCACAGGAACGCCAGCCCACAGGTGCCTGCTCTGTGAAGTTGCACAACCAGATGAGGGGCTTTCAGAGCCGGTAGGCAGATCAAAGGGCAGGGGCACGATGTCGAGGGCGGATAAAAAGGGCTAAATATAGAGAAGGTGCAGCTCAGGTTCAGGACTCTGTCCGAACCTTTAAATCCCTTTGAGGGAACACTCTAAATGAAGTTGGGAATTGTTTTCAGCCTCAGAAGGACAAGGAACCACGGGTGAACGATAATAATAGCTCCAGCTTTCCCTGTCGCCTCCACGCGTCACGTCCCAGTGCCATTTGTGAAGAGCGAGTTACCTCGTCCCCAGTGGGGTGCAGCTGCCTCCCAGGAGGCTCGCAGCAGTTGTGCAAAAGAGCAGTTCGTCATGGCCATGGAAATAGGGGAAGAACAGAGGAAAGGGAAATGGAGTTTGGAGTCTGGCCAAGGCATATTCCTGTCATGACGAGCGGGACCTTAGAGATGAACATTTCTTGTGGATCCATGGATCAGGTCATGGTTGCTCATGGTAGCTGCCCAGCCTGGTTTTAGCAGGAAAGGTTTCTGAATGGTGCACACTCACTGCTTTCTGGAAGTAAGGGCTCTTTCAGGAGGATGCTAAACAGTAGAGGAAACCAAGTCCTTCGGTACCTTTGAAAAAGCAATCCACCACCACCAGCCCAGCATTGTAAAGAGTTACTGACAGGAGGACCTTGGCACCAGTGCTGGTCCAGAGTTGTGCCTCCGACAAGCACCACTGAGGAACACGGCACAGCCAAACAGAGCCTGGGCTTAGCTGGTTCACACCAGCCCTCTTCTGAGCTCTGCCTTGGCTGTGCTCATCCTGAGCCCTTGGGTGTCTGCTTGTAGCAGACCAAATGCCTCTATGGTGCTGCAAGGCTGAGGGGGGGGGTCTGGAATCATCTGCCTTCTGCCTTTTGCTGCCACACCATGACTTTTCAGGGCAGTGGCTAAGTCCCTTGCACCATGCCACGGCAGGGGTCTAGCCTGAGCCCCAGGGGCTGTCCTACTGAGCCACCTGCATCACTCCCTTGTGGGGATCGGGGCACAAGTGATGGGCAGGAAGAAAGGGGAGGTGAGTCCCCTTATTTCCCATCCTCCAGGTAGCTTCCCCCAGAGTGGGGAGGGAGCGTTCCCTCCGTAGGATGCTGGGAGAGGGCTGTAAATAGAAAAGGGAAAGGTGCAGGAGAGAGGACTGAGTATTAATAGGCAGCATCCCTGGGTCTCTGTGTAATCATAGAATCATTTAGGTTGGAAAAGATCTTTAAGATCATCGAGTCCAAGCGTTAACCTAACACTGCCAAGTCCACCACTAATCCCTGGCTGGCCTTGCATGCTCGCCCTGGTGACCCTAGGCTCCTTGCAGAGCCGGATACAGAGATGATCCCCCTCTCCTGTGATGGAGATCAAAGGCCAGGGTAAAATTACCCTGCTCTGCTCCTCACTTTCTGAGGGCACCTTCTCCACCCAGAAAAGCAGCCAGCTGCAAAGAGGTGTGCACAGGGGCGCACCAGGAGTGCAGGACTGTGTACGGGTGGTGGGTGCTGGGTCCCTCGGGGGAGGCCTTACCCTCCTGTTCCAGTCTGGAAACTGGTGAGATTTGCCTGCCAAGGGGAGAACAAGCAACCCCATCCCAGCGCAAAACTCCTCATCATCGTAAAGACATCTCAGTGCTAACCCCAACTCCTTCGCCACCATGATCTTCCCTCCCACATCCTCTGATGGGGTCAGCCCTTGTACAAAGATTCCCCACAGAATCACACCAAGAAACTCAGGGTCCCAAGCGCCAAGCTCACCAAGGTGACCTCAGGTATCACAACAAGGCAGCATCCTTACCAGGATCTGTAGAGCAAGATGGATTGCAGTCTCCCCGGATGGGACCCTCACGGCCTGCCTCCCCTGCTCAGAATGGCTCCCCACCAGCCAGAAGCCCCTTGTCCCTGTGTGGTCTCCAGTCGGTCCTGCCCGTCCACCCAGCGAGTCCCTTGCTCCCTCTCTGCTCCTCAGCCTCTCCCAGGACTGATCTCCCCATGGGGAGCTGGAAGACTGTGGACGGGAGGGGTTGGGGGAGGGCTGATTCCAGGAGCAGCGTCAGGCAAATTAAATCAGACACCAGAGACTTGGGGAAATCGGATTGGGACGTAATGCAAAGCAGGTGGGTGGGGAGGGGTGAAAAGAGAGAGTAGCATGCTGCTCCTGAAGGGAAAGAAACCATCACAGGCGGATTTTGCTCCCTCTGTTTATATCAGCAACAAACTAATAAAGTGAAGATTAGCCAGAACACGCTAGGATTATCAGCCACTGGGGCAGGGCTTGCTGCACCGCACAGTCCACGGGAATTCCCATTTTCCCAGGGACAGCATGCCACTGGTGTGCTGGGCAGGGCGGGAAGAGGGATGATGCCACCCACGGTGGCCCTGCCAAGGGAAAATCAATGGCTGGGCTGAGGTTACACGCTCTCCAGGCAGCAAACTGGGCTCTGCGTGGGGAAAACAGAACTGGGCACAGGGGCCAGGGGTGGCAAAAGATTTGGTGGCATGCCTTTTGGCAGCCACTTTAGTGGGATGCTGCTAGGGGATTATCTTGGCCTCAATCTCTTTTAATCTCTCCCGCAGCTTTGGCCCAAGCCCGAGATAAATACCTTTTAACGGATCTCATCTGACGTCAGGAGGCCATCAGTCTAATCACCCAAGCCACCTCTGGGCAAAGCAAGCCAGAGATGTGGACACCGGTCCCTCACCCCTCAACACATCCTCGTCAAGCAGGAACCGTCCAGACCCCCCCCATACATCATGGGACGGACATGAATGCTGGCATAGCGATGGACCTCTCGCCAGGGACAGGGAATTTGAAATGCACACGTCAAATTGTCTTTTTCCTGTGACCCTGGGGAAGACAGGAGGCAAAAGGGCTTGCCAATGCAGATTTCCCAAGCTTGCGTGTTAAGGAAGCGACAGGATTCAGATGCAGGAAAGACTTCCCTTGCCATGGAGCAGGGGTCCTGTGACAACAGCAACAAGGGGATCACCCACCCACCCCTTACACCGCTGGCCCTAGCCCTACAGATTTCTTCCATCTGAACTGTAGTTGGGGTCTCCATGCACAACTCTCGTCATGGCCCGAGTACGTCACGACTGCAGATTGATCTCTGGCTCTAATGCTTCCCAGGAAAAGGGTCACTGCTCTTTTTGATACTCCGTATCTATCCCATTCAATTCCTGTTTGGCTACAACATAATCCCATCTCGGGACACTAATCCCCCAGGCAGTGACAGCAGATTGTCTTTGTATCAGGGTAGAAAATGATAAACAAAATAACTCTTCTGCTTTCAGGGGCAATTTGGTGCATGCAGAGGGGGGAAAAAAAAAGGGAAGAGAGGCCTTGCTCCAGGGAAAGATGAGCGTACTGTGCTTTTTCTTAAAGGGGCTCCCCACCCTCTCCAAGGGTCAGTCATGGCAAAGCTGACTTTCTCTCTTGCTCTCCCTTATTGGAAGTAGCTGGCATGTGGGCAAATATTTTGTTTTCTTTCACTGAGGGCTCAATCTCCTTCCATCATTTGTTAATTAAATTTCCATCAGCAACGAGTGTGCATGTCTCCCTCCTGGTGTACAGACTCAAGCTCCCACCAACATCTGTTTCCAGCATTTTGCTTTTATTCCATATATTCACAGTCTCTCACCTTCCCTCTCAGACCAATTGCAAGGATCTGGAGTTTGCAGGTACCTAGGAAATTCAGAGGCTTCTGAGTCCCTGAATGTGAGACAGCCCTTGCTGAAAGACCCCAGGCTGCTCTTCCCCGTCTCAGATTTGGCCCTGGATGCCCAAGAAGCTAGCACTGACAGGAGTGGGGTGAGAAGACCCTACCTTCTTACTTCTGAGTGACACAAACATGGTGAGGCAGTGGAGAAAGTTCCTGGTGTCACTGACTTTAATACTCTGTCCCTGCTCCCATTTTTCAGCTGCTGGGATGTCACAGAGAAGAAAGCTACATCCCTCCCCATCACTACGGCTCTAGCATGCTAATACACTGCTCCAGGCCTCTGTGGTCCCGGTGCTACCGCGACCTGCCAGGCCATGGCATGTGCCAGTCCTGCCCCAGAGGCCTCGTGTACTCAGAACTCATCTCTGGTCCGCAGCTCCTTCGGGTGCTGTGTCCTATCAGAGCCAGGCTTTTGTCTCTGGCTTGTGGCCCTGGCTCTGCTGTTGGGAATGGGAGGCTCTGAGGAGGATCTGCCGCGGTGATCAGCCTCCTGATGTTCTCCACCAGGTCGGTCCTGCTCCACAGCCCTCTGTCGCATCAGCTCCTCTGCCTTCACCCGTTCCTGCAGCCATAGAGACAGAGATTATGCGAACCCCTCCCTGCTAGGGTCTTGGCTCTGCTCTTAGGGGCTGACAAGACACATCTTATCTTTGCCACATCCATCCAACCTCCCTAGAGCCCATTCTCTCTTGCAGGACCCATCAAGAGCTGTACCCTCCACCAGGTACCTCATCAGAGGACAACTCCCAGCTGCTGCACTAGGCCCTGCCCCATGGGAAAGCCCACAAGCCATTCCTTAGCGGGATTTGATCTAGCTTGGAGGTACTTGTATCCATTTCTCCAGCATGGTCCTTTACCTGCTCAGCATGCTCCCGGGAGTGTGTGTACCAGAGAGCAATGGCGCAGCGCCTTCCGCGGCTTACTGCCCACACGCCGTGGGGGTTCTCCTTGCCAGAGCTGAAGGCTACCAGCCTCCCACACTTTGGATGCACCTCAGCCTGCCAGGAGAGAGAGAAGAGACAAGGAAGCCAGCAGCCCCCTGTTCTGGGGTACACGGTCCTTCTACAGAGGTCACACTGCCTCTGGGAATGTGGTACAGCAGAGAGCCGTTAGGCATCCGCTGCCAGTCAATGAGCAAGGTAGACCTTAGGGAGGGACAGAGAGAATCAAAGGGACAGCCCGGGTCACAGACACTCACAGACTGGAAGAGCCTGGAACATCTCAGCTAGGAAAGAGTTAACCTTTCCTCTGAGATTTGCCTCAATTTGCCTTTAGCTGCCCCTATTTGAATCTGCCACAGCACCAGCACTGGACTGTTTGTGGAGTGGTGGGATCCAGTAACCAACTAGTTTCCTCCCACCCAGACAAAGTCTCACCCTCAGTCCTCTCTCCTTCTTTTGGCCAGTCCCAGACTTACTGTGACAGTCACAGTGTCCATTTCAGTGAAGAAAAGGCCCCCACCTTGGAAGTCATCATTGAGGTAGAGAATGCCACTGTGGACAAAAAGAAAGAGGACATATGGATGGTGAAGCTCATTCCTCCCAGGTGCTTCCCCACACTCCTTGTCACCAGAGGCTGTGGGTACCACAGGTACAAAAAGCGAGTAGACCAGCTAACAGGAGAATCCATTTGGGAGTGTTAAATACAGCAGTGCCTAGCTCAGGGGAGTCTCTGAACTGCAAGCCAGAGGAGGCTAGGAGAGCATGCCAGGGAGTTAGCTCTCCGCACTTGTCCTGTTTTGTTTCGGTTTGTTTTTAATCCTCTGCAGCATGCATCTGTAGCACTGTTGTGACAATGCCCTGGGCTAGACTGACCTTGGTTCTGACCTGGCATGACATTGTTTATGTTTAAGATTGGGAATAATCCAAAGCCTGGAAGAGGAGACTCATAAGCAAAGAAAGCCATGTCTTAAGAGTCAAGGAGTTTCAGGGTGACATAAGAATGGTCAAAAAAAGGCTTAGTGCATGCAGAAAAGAAAATTAAAACAAGAAATTTCCTTACTAATGTTAGACAAAGGGAGAAGTAGTGAGGCCACAGTGCAGTGCAGGCGAGACCACAGTCAACTAGGTGAAAGAGTGGACCACAAACTACTTGAGCTCCTCTTGGTGTTCAATTAAGCTGATAGAAAACATCAGAGGAACAAGAGAGGCTCATTAATGGGACTGGGAGAAAGAAATAGAAATCAACATTGTGGCTGCTGAAGCAAAACATTAAGGACATAAAGACAGTGAGATGCTTACCAACCCTGCAACCCAGGAAGTTACAGCTCTTCTGCCATAGGGTTTTAATAAGGCTGTGAAGTCAGGGTGGTAACATGACTGCAGAAAATCAAGGATAGCTCTCACAGGCACAAAGGGGCAGGAGGGCAAGGATAATAGCTGAAGCATAAACAGGCCTGTTAGCCTGACCTCAGCAGTCTGCAGGGCTTTAGACTCCATTTCTGAGGGGAAGGATAATTGAAGGACAAGAGGTAAACGGAAAACAGTCTTAAAAAGTAACATGGGGGTAATAAAAGCAGATTGGGCTAGCCACACCATCTTTGACAAAACAGTTGATTTCCCAGGGAAAGACAACATGCTCAATCTCAGCAGTTTGGACTTAGAACAGTGACACTAGAGGAATTCTTAATGAACACAGAGAAGGTGAAAAAGAGCATGTGAACAACACACAGTGACTGGTACCACTGGCACCGAAAGCAGTACTGTTTGCCTGGAGGAGGATCACTGGGGCTCTTGGACCCCAGGCCCAAATCCGTTCAATAGTTTCATGAATGACCACAGCACAAATACACAGAAGAGTGCCAGGAACACGGGGATCTCTTTCAAAATGACACTGGAAGAGCTCAGCCCTCGTGAGCGAGTTGGTCAATCACAATTCACTCTGCAAGAGGACAAGAATACTCCTGGAAACAGCTCAGCGGCATAGATGCCAGGAAGATATTTTAACATACATTCAAGCAGAAGTCACAGGAGCCCGCTACCCAGGGAGGAGTGAGGTGACAGGACAGCTTTCCCACAGAAGGGACAGAGATCTAACCAGTTACACAACAGAGCCTGGTAACTTTACAATCTGACTATACCCAGTCAACATCTATAACAGAAGGGAAATGGACTCAGTGACTCTGGAATTGCCTCTAAGTCCCACATCCTTACTATATGCTGCTCAGAGAAGATTTCTGCTCTGAGTACAGCTACCACTCAAAGAAAAGGCAAGAAAGATTTCTGCATGCCCAGGGACGGGACGGTAAATAGGGGGAATCAACTACAGTAAACTGACCTCATTTGGCTCCAGTGTGCAACAACTGTCACCATCTTTAAAGTATATTTCAGGTTCTTTCACAGAAGAGTTACAAAACCTGCCACAGGCTGGAAAAAAACTTTCACATGGATTGGAAAAACCCAATACAAAGTATTGGCAGTGAATCTTGAGAGAGATGAATGGAGAGAATAGTCACCAAAGTACACTGACTGCTCAAACAAAGGAAATCCAAGGAGCTTGGCTCTCCCTGTAATGCATGGAAGACTGTGAAAGATGGAACCTGATTAGAAGTAACAGACTGTCATAAGGGCTGGCAGTGGACTGTAGTACTGTGGTAGACCCACAAGACAACAATTTGGTATCACGGTTCTAGACTGTGCAGCTTCCCAGCCTTCTTCTGCCCTCTGTTAATGCTGGCTGGGAGAAGGGAGGAGGGAGAAAGGGCTGATCTTCTTCCCAGCCTAGGGAAGGTGTTTCACACCTTGTTCTGAAGCCACTGATGCAGCCTTCTGCCTGATGCTACAGTCCTGGCTGGCTTTGAGCCAAAACTCATCATCTGGTTTCTATAAGCTGAGCTCATCCTCTGATGGGGCTGGGGTGATGTTCTGATCTTCACACGATCTAATGCAGGTCCCCTTCTTCTCTTACCTGTAGTCCCTGTACACGTAGGCAGGCGGTTCTCTCCAGCACTCTTGCCCCTCAGGATCCAAGAGACAATTATCAGCATGGACAGGATGACTAAGATCCATGCGACCTTCCTGTTCCTCTTTAAAAGGAAGTTATAAAAAAGAATATGGGCATTTCCAGTTTCAAGAAAGAATAAGACAGAGAGAAAGGGGCACAGTGAGAGTAAAGGGAAGAGAGTCCTCTGAGAGCACATGGCTGGGACTGAGGAGACTCTCCAGGAGACAGGGACTAACAGGGTAAAAGATTCTTTACCATCTACAGCTGTGCGGCACACAAGGTGTGTGAATGAGAAATGGAGTTTTTTTCCAGGAGTAAAATAGGACTCTATGATTTTCCGTGATTTCTCACTGGCCTGCAGAAGTAATTTGGCATCTCTCCAATCCACGTCCCCATTCTGGGCCAGCTACAAGTGAAAAACAAGCCTGTTAGAATACTTATATAGAAAGACACTCTAAGAAATGATACACATACACAGTACAGAAGAGAAGACCTGTGTAAACTCCTGTGGTCACACATGTAAGAAAAGAACATGTTTTCTCATGTAAATATAAGTCAGGGGTACACCTGTACAGCACAGCAGTTCTTTCCTTCTACTCAGCACATGAAGCCACCTCTGGAATGCAGCATTATTTTGGGTTCCCCACTACACAAAGGACACTAGCAAACTGGAGTGAGTCTTCAGTGAAGGGTCTTAAGATTGCAGGGGTGTTGGAGCACATGACTTAGAAACCCAAGAAAGAAAGAGCTGAGTTTGTTCTGCCTAGAGAAGAGAAGGCCAAAGCGGGGGTCTAACTAGTCTCCTGTCACCTAAAAGGCGCTTATAGAGAAGATAGAGACAGTCTCTTCTCAGAGGGACACACTGAAAAGACAAGAGGCAAAAGGCAAAAGCTGCAGCAAGGGAAATTTTGGCTAGACATAAAGAAAAATTTCATCCTCCCGAGAGTGGTACAGCAATGAAACAGGTGCCCAGAGGGGCTGGGGAATCTCCACCCTTGGAGATGTTCATGACTTGTCCACGCAAAACCTTGAGAGATCCCATCTAGCTTTGGAATTAGCCATGCTGTGAGCAGGGGTTTGGACTAGAGATCTCCAAAGGCTCCTTCCACCTTAATCTATTCTCCGATTCTAAGCTAAGCATGTCTGTAAGACTACTGCACAGGTACAAGTAGCAATCCTGAAACATGTTTCACAGGAGAGAAAGCACTTGTCAAGCCCTCCATGTGCAACATGCCTGAACGTGATCGTGGAGGAAGAGGGTCAGGGGAAACTGCACATGTGCCTATGAGGAAGCTAACACACCCATTACCCCATCCAGAGTGCACTTTGCAGAGAAAAACGCTCGGATGGCAAACAGTCTTTCTGGACAATCAAGAAGGTGGCAGACTCACAGAGCCACTTACCTGCACGGCCTTTAAAACAGTTAATCCTTCAAATCTTTCATGTGGGGTGTGAGGTGACCGTCTTGCCCGGTAGCCATCTCCTGCTTCTCCTGCTGCCTGGAATAGAAGGATACAGATGACACACATTAGGTGTCCATCTCTCCTCCACGGAAACACTACAACCCTGCCTCCTGAGGAGGAAAGTACACATACAGGAGCTCCTATAAGACCCAGGCCTCACCTTTGTCAGCCGGAGAAGGTCCTTACACTCTGACTCTGTCAGCACTCTGTCGAACACAACCCTCTGTGTTCCATTCATCCGGCGGGAATCCATCGTGACAGCAATACCCTCAAAAGGCAAAGGACCTGTTCAGAAGCAAGTACAGATAGTCATGAGCAAGCTTTGGACAAAAAGCCCTCAGACACCAACCCCCAGCCTGGATAAGGAAGTGGAGAGAGACTATACATTCTCTGAGAAGACAGGACAGTTCCCCAGAAGTGCCCATTCCTCGCAGACCTGGGCCACTTGCACCCCTCACATGCTTCAGGGGAACCAGAGCATCAGCTGGGGAAGCTGGCCTACAGCGAGTGCTTCAGGAGCCAGCAGAAACTTGGGGCTTGCTAGGAGAGCAGCAGGGAGCTGGGGAAAGTTGAGTGCACTGTGGATCGCAGCAGCAGAACAGGTCCAGCCTACTGCGGTGAGGCTCTGGAGAAAAGAAGCAGGTAAACACCTCCATCAATCCTCTTGATCACATATCTTATCCCAGAATTATCTCCAGTGATTCTTTCTACTTGCTTCAGCCCCAAAGAGAAGCAATGGTTATTAGTTGGTGATTTGATCTTTTGATCTTTGGCTTTTTTTCCCCCCTCTGACCTCTGGATAGTCAGGAATGCAAAGGCACTCAGGCCCTCTGAAGGATCTGCTCTCCCATGTGTCACAGCAGAGAACCACTTGGGGTCACTTCAAGCAAAGACTCCAGGACAGAGCCCTGCAAGAGGCTGTGTGTCCACACATAAGAATAGAGGACCAGCAGGAACATGGGACTCTGCACCGCAGTCTATAGCATTCAGCCACAAACCATTTGGACTTCAGTTTCTCAGGGGAAGACTTGCCCAAGCCGAATAGTCTGTTTCCAGTTTCCATTTCCCCCCCTCTCTTGTCCCCTTCAGAAAAATGTTCTTTGAAGTTGGGCTGGTGGAGTTGAACCAGGTTTGGTGTAGACACTCCTGCCACACTGAACAGGGATCTGCATGTCCACAGGCTTGTCACGTATTCAGGCACCACTGCTCTCAGCTTCTCCAGCCACAGTGCTCTTTGAGTTCCCATCCCAGAGACGTACGCAGTGAGATTTTGCAAGATACACATGCATCAAAGAGGGAGAAAAGAAACAGTGAGAAGACTTGCTGAGCCATTCAAGTCAGTCTGCATCTATCCTAGCATTCAAATATCTGAGGATGGAAGAAAAGACAGCACTTAGCCTGACTAAGCCTGGCTGACTGCATCCAAGTCTTTCTTCAAGCTCTTTTACTCACCCCTCTTCTCCCTCTCTTCCACATCCAGAGTTTCCTGCTTTTGCTTCTCCTGATCCTCTCTCGGGAGCAAGGGAAAAAACAGAGACCAGGACTGTCAGTACACAGAGCTATGCCTAACCCTCCTCCGTGATAGAATTTCATACCCTTCCTGTTCCTGATTTGCCCATTCCTCCATAGGTATTACTGTTCCTCGTACCATCCCCTACTTCCAACGCTTATATTTCAGTCCTAGTCGACTTGGCCAACCTTACCTGTGTTTCTCCCTTAGGTTTTCAGGAATCAGCTCATCTGGAGTCCAAAGATCCTGTAAGAACAAACGCAGATGATTCAGTACACAACAAACTTCTCCGACATTGGATCATGTCAAACAGCCAGTTCCTTGTCCCGCTTCTCCAGTGAATCTCAGACCAATGGTTCTGGCCTGCTTCTAATGACAGACAGATGGGGCTAACGCATACAGTTACAGCAGCAATTTCAAACCAACTTCAGCCCTGGAGCAGTGGAAAGGCCTTAAAGATCCACCTCATAAGGACTTGGGGGTCATTCTCATCAGCATCTGATCCTTTCCGGATCACATGCTACTGAAGTGAATTCTGGCAACTGTCTGATGAAATCAGAGCAAGAAGATTAAGATGATACTGTTACTTACAGGGTCATTAAAAGTTCCTCCTAGATGCTCCACTGCATAATAAATCAACTTCTTCTCCATCAAAGATCTCTCCACATAATGTTGAATACTCTAAAGAAGCAAAGAGGCTGTCAAACAACCACTCCACAAAAGACAATCCCATCCCTGTCCAGGGCAGAAACCTGTCCCAACACACTGCTGTGCACTATGAAAGCCTGGTTCTGTCCTGAAGAGACAGAACGGTACAGACTATAAGTAAACTCAGGCTTCATTTTCTTTGGTCTTGGGCTTGGCACACATCTGCAGTGAAACACCTTTCCCTTTTTGTCTCCTGGATTGTGATCCTGTCGTATGGGATGGGAAAGGCCGAAAAGTACAGATCTGGGGTTGTAACTACCTCTCTGGCTGTGACAGCTGTGTCCTCTCCCAGTTCTGTGCGATACTGTTTCATTTTCTCCAACATTGGCTCATCCGTGGGATAGAAGAGCAAGTAGGAAGCAGCACATTCAGCAGCCAGTGCCTGGTTTCCAACTTGGGCAGGGATAGAACAGAACAAACAGATATGTCTCTGAAAGACTTGATGTTAGCAGCAAATGTGTATAGGCCAGCAGTACCCAATGCCCCAGTCAGAATCCAGCAGTAGGAGGCCTTACAGCAAGTACACATTAATCCTTGCCTAGCTGGGCCTCTACCCAATGATGGGCACAGAACACAGGGAATGAGCCCAGTGAAGAATGGGCCCACTTTCAATACTTATTGGGAGCTTGTTCAGAGGAGATAGAGAAAAAGTAAGTATATATTTGGAAGAAAGACAGTCTCACCTCCCTCACCCAACAGACATGATGAGGGGCCTGGGGTCTGTAGGCTTCTTTAAGATACAAGTTTTACTGACGGTCTGAGACAGGAGATGAGAGACAGCTGAGTCAGTGTGGGAAGGAGCAGAGGTATCCAAGAGAAGAGCTGAGGCACGTGTGAAGGTGACAGGGTGACAGGATGACCAGTGTCATGACAGGCCATCAGTTCAGCATGGGCAGGCAGGGCTGACTCAGAGGGAACACCACCGTTGAGATGAGATGCATGTGCATGCTCTAGATAGGAAGTGGGGGCCTGGTCTGGAGCCATGTACTGAAAAGGAGGGTATAAAATACACAGCAGATGGTTGGAGCAAGGACTTGAAACTGAGAGTGTTGGAGGAAAGAAGTGGGAACAGCCACACATTACAGAAGATGCACAAGGAGACTGAAGTGGACCACAAGGGACCTCTCCCAAAGTGGCCACAGGCTTGAGAAAGAGAAGACAGTTTCTGGGAAGAGTTGCGGGGCAGAAGGCAGGGAAGAGAGAGGTAGAGCTCAGGTCAGCGTGCCACTTCTCCCCAAGACATGCTGCCTTCCAGGTCCAGAGGCAAAGGGCAAGTTTAGGGGTGCCACAGCATAACCCTCTGGGTAGTGGATCCGCTCACCTTGATCATAAGCAAACTGCAGTAAGTCGAGATGAGAGGGTATGAAATCTTCCGTGGCAGAAATCCGCCCCGGCTTTGTGGCAATTTCAAGGACGCACTGCTGTCGGCACTTCAAAACCTGAATATAATGGGCTGCAAGAGAGAAAAGCAAGAAAAGGCAGTAGCTCACACTTCTTCCAGACAGGAGCGCTGGGAAATGGGGCATGTCCAGTGTGGGAAGCATGGTCTTCCTACCCAAGCCTCTGTGCCTCTAACGCTACCTGCAATGGCTTCATACAGGCCAGGTTGCATCTCCTCCTCCTCCTCGTCCTCATCCTCCCAAGGCCCTTCACACAGGGCACGACACTCTTCCAGTGCTGACAGCGCCTCTGTGAGTGACTCCTCCAGCCTGGCCACAGCCTGCAGGTACTCATCTGCATTGTAGTGCTGCACCCCAGCCTCATATGCCTCCTGCAAAGGACAGATCCAGGTCCCTCATCAGCATGGGTGACACCAAAGGATGCTCTGAGATTTCGAGTCCCTCACAGGGTAGTGCTGACATCTAGGGGCCTGCCTGATCATGCACAGCCCACCATGCAGTGACAGCAAATCTTCTGGACTTAAGCCAAATATACTTCTCCAAGGCCCTGCAGCCTGCCGTAACTGTCACCAGAAAGTCTCTGTGCCACACTTGCAATGGTTTGTTTTCACCCTGAAGAGAAGGCTTCAGGGAGACCTTCCTGCAGCCTTTCAAATATAAAGGGGCCTTATAAGAAAGGCAGCGAGACTTTTGACCAAGGCCTGTAGTGACACGACAGTGGGTACATTTAGATTGGAGATAAGGAAGTCATTTTTTATGATGAGGGTGGTGAGAGACACTGCAGCAGGTTGCCCAGAGAAGCTGTGGATGCCCCATCCCTGGAAGTGTTCAAGGCCAGATTGGATGGGGCTTTGAGCAACCCGGTCTCGGGAAAG